TTGTGTCACAAGAATCTGAAAGAATTGAACCAGATTCTGGTTGCTGAACAGGCTCTAAGGGATGCTAACTTGGTTGAGTTGAGAAGTGGGATGTTAGTAAAAACAGACTTAAAGTGGTAAACATAACAGAGAGAAGTGGGGTGTTGGTAAAAACAACCTTAGAGTGGTGTGAACATGACAGAGAGAAGTGGGATGTTGGTGAAAACAGACTTAGAGTGGTGAAAATGGCAGATAGAAGTGGGGTATTGGTGAGAACAAACTTAGATGAGTTTTGAGGGGAAAAAAAAGCAATGTACAAAATGATGAGAAAACTGCACCAGAAAAAACAAGTTTTTTTCTTGAAACTGGGACCCCAGATACCCCGTGACACTGGTCAGATATGTTTGAGCCATGTGACAAGGCTAAAAGATTTTTCAACAGTGTGACATGCTTAGAATATATCTGATTGATGTCACACCACTGAAACATTTCTGGCCAGTTAGACTTGGCTCAAACATTTCTTACCAGTCTGACACACTTCAAACATTTCTTACCAGTCTGAACCCCTTCAAATATTTCTGACCACTTTCACTTGACTAGGATATTTTTGAACACAATTTATTTACCCAAACATTTCTGGTCACAATATTACAGGTCAAATATTTTCTACCCAATCCAATATTATATTTTCTCCCAAAGGCAAAAAAATAAATGGCCACACAACCTATTAGCCTGGATACATTCTTACATTTTACAAGGCTAATAGCTTGTTCAAGGTGGGTGACTGAAGTGAACCAATCCACCGTGTGTGTGGTGGATTTGTTAGTTCAAGGACGGGATGGGGTCACTGGTCGTCTGCCACAGAAAACAGAACAAACAATAGAGCAGTAAAGGAACAAGGGAGATAGAGTGCGAGCGCTCAAGAGTAGAATACTCAGCAACTTTAAATCTTAAAACCTTAACTTGGTGGCGTGGGTATTGAAATGCTTTGAGCATTTGAACTTGAGGGATGCCGCGCCTTGATGTGCAACGACTTAAGAGAGAGAGAACAAAAAAAGGGGGGGGGGGAAAGAAAGGTGCTCCATTCGATAGGTGGGAGGTCACCTTAAATACACATAAAGAATCACAAGGCAACTGCACGTTCTCGTGTGCTGCCTGTCCAAGAATCAATCTAAAATAAGAAAAAAGAACTACAAGAATATGTCAACATGAAAAAGGAAAAATGCGAACAAAAATAACTATGACGCCTTTCGTCAGATTCCTCTGCCAAAACCTTGAGCTGGGAATTGCTTGGGGAACCATACGATGCTGGTAGGTCTATTTGCGTACGCGCTGCCGCCTTCAGTGCGGACGTCCCAGTCATCGATGGCTCGACCCTACCGTCCAGCTCTTGATCAGGGCTTTGGTCTCGTAGAAAAGTGTCGTAAGTAATAAACAATAAAAACGATAAAAATAAAAATAAAGACTATGCGCACGGGAACGAAACTTGCAAGCCACGTCCTTCAAGCGACTCTAGGAGAAGACGATCAAACAAGTTGCCGGCGATGACGTCGTCCGAAAAAGGTGTGTGTTGTAAGATGTCGGAACACGCTATTTCAAATGTTCAACAACGCTTGCTAAAATCTAAAAAAAAGAAAGTGCATATAAAATGAAAATAACGGGGAGTGCCGTGAATAGAACATCTGGCACTTCCACAAAGTTGAAAGACATCTGGATGGGCAACAATGCCAAATTATGATGTACACCAAGGATCATCTGAACCCCAGTGCAGGTTCAGACGATCCTTGGCACACATCATAATTTGGCGTTATTTGCTCAATGCCTACTACCTATTTTACTAACTTTATATGTTTTTACAGGAACACGTAGGACTTAATGACACAAAGGTGTTAATGTCTGAATTACTTCCATTTGTTTCTTGTGTCGTAAGTACATATCTTACTTCTGTGTTCATTGTATGTATATTTCATCCATCTCTTGTGTTTTCTCTTACTAACTTTGTATGTCCTTACAAAATAGATTTCACAACATGAATGAATGGCACAACACCAATGTACCTTTGCATCCACTGCTGTTGATGCTTATGCCCACTGCCGTCTCTACTTTTTGTCACGGCCATCCTCTTGTAAGTATACCTTCTCCCTCTTCTTATTTTACTAAGCTCGAATAGAACTTCACACTGCATTATTTGCTCAGACATATATCTATGTTACTAATCTTATACATCTTTACAGGAATACGTAGGACTTAACAATGCGAAGATGTTATTGTCCAAATTCCTTTCTGACATTGTATGTACATCCCTCCTTTTCTTGTGTCTTTTCCGAATCCCCTTCCCCATCAATGTCCTCCAGCCAAGTCAAGGTGAGTGTGATCCATCAAAATAATTAACAATAGTGACTTACCTCTGACCACCAAGATCCGCCGCCGTCGTCACACAACTGACTGTGATTTATCTACACCACTTGTGTAAGAGGCTGTTGCAAGCACGGCAGATACGAGTCCTCTTTTTTTGCAACTGTAGTAGCATTTATAGTGTAGCTATATGTTTAAGCCCACATGTTATCATATATTAACAATTATATATTTATAAACTATATATATATATAGTAATATATATTTATTTTTTAGAGTAAAGTACTACAACTGCATGCCGCTCAACTGACTCACCAGATGAATTTTTCTCTACACTGGTCTTCAAAGAATCTTCTGTAAAATCAGTAAGATGCCCCTTCTTTATGCAACGTCTCTTAGTCACCATACCATCATGATACCACACCTCTTTTCCAGGGGTAATTATATAAGATGTAAAGTGAAATCCACCAGAATAAATTATGCCCCTCAGTGGAAGGACTGTGAACTTACCATTGGAGCCTTTAATACGAATAGTCTTGCTGATTGAGACTCTACTTGTATTCAAACTGAATACAAGAAGTGAAGGGGGTTGATCATACATTCGGGAAGTTGCCATTGGAGAACCACAATCACATATGCTTGGTTCCATGAGCCATTGTTGCAACCATTCATTAATTGACTTGTAAGTTCCATCAAGTATTGACATGACTCTCTCAGGTGGATTATCAAGATCTTGAAAAAAATCACATGTATTACATGATACTCTGCGGTAGCCCAAGCGAATGTTGTGATGTGACGTAAAAATGTATGAGATTAAATCCCGGATATCAGTCCCAGTTTGTCCACTTGGAAATAAATCTGAGTTTTCTTGTTTAAGTGATGCACGCACATCATTCCTAACATTTTCTAAAGTTTCAAGACCTCTGATAACTTTTTTGTATCCTTCTGACAATATTTTTCCTTGATTACCAAATGAATAAAATGTTTTTGTCCAGCTTTTTGGATTGTAAATCCAAATCTCACACAAAATTGTAAATAGAGAATCATATGAGCAGCTGTAATTTACTGAATCCCAAAGAATCCCAACAGGAGTTTCAGGCGTAGGTCCAAAGCTGGCTCTAATCTTCTTTGATTTAGGTTCATCAGAATTCAGACCCTCCTCTGCCTTCCTTTTTAGTGTAGATGCAATTGCCTTTGATCCCTGTGCAGGAACAAAACATCCTGTGACATTTTTACTTTTCTTTTGTAATTGAATGTTGACCTCTTCAGTTGCCTTATCAGTGTTTGATTTTGCGGTGAGTGTCCATGAACTATCAGTGATCACTTGGAAAGTTTGCATTGGATATGTTTCACTCCATCTGATTGGCCCCATCACATTCTGTGGACAATACCCCTTCCCTTTGAGCTGTTGATACTGACGTAAAACAGAATTGCGCAGTTGCCCATTGATTGATTCAGGTAATTGGCCATTGTATCTAAGGTTGGTAATGTCATCGAGAAGCTCAAGTTCTCTAAACTCTTGTCGAAGATAACCAGATGCACCACAGGTGATTTTTGATGGGTTAAATCCTTGTACAATTACAGTTCCTTCACATGTTGCACTTCTAGAAAGAGCAGTATAGTAAGATAGGTGGTTACGACAGCTGTTTAAATCCACCACATTAAATGGACGAGTCTTTCCTTGTGATGCATAGTCCGTCATTGCAAAGTTAGGCAGCACAGACACTTGAGAACGGGATATAGTGAGAGTAACATCACTTGGACAGATACATTCAATAGACCTGCTGTTCTTTACTAGTGGAACTACATTTTCAGGCAATCCGTCAATATTGATTGTCTTGGCAGGACGATCAAGCTTTACAAACAAAGTTTCAAGGATTCGTTGTCCACTTGGGCCCAACTTTGCATCCCATCCAACAACATGACCTTCTTGACCTTTTGTTATACATAATTCTGTTGCATCATTGTTTCGTATTATGACTGGCATACCAATACACAGTAAAAGTTTTCCAGGAACATGGTCAGAGGCAGAATGGCGCAAGTTCCAAAGTAAATTTTGAAGCTTTGGACTGATAGTTTTGCATACAGCAGTTTTCTTAGGTCTTCCACGCGGCTTTTTCCCAGTGACTGGATCACACTCAACCCCCAGTGTATCCACAGAGTAAAAGTCAGTAAGTGTTTGGCCTGTATCTGCTGCAAAACGTGCAGAACCTAATTCATTAATTCGATCCTTCTGGGAGTTCAAAGCAGTAATGATAGAGACATTTCTGAAACGTTTGTCAGCCAACTTTGGCTGGTTAGGTCTCCTTCCTGCAACACGACTTCTTAAAAATATAATGTCATCAACAGTACATGCTGCATATCTCATATTTTCTAGAGCTGTCCTTAGCTTGGCATCTTCCACTGATTGTGTATTTTGTCTCATATTTTTCCGTAGCATCACAACAGTAGTCACTTGGTGCCAAAGTGCTTTACCTATAGCAGATTGCTGCCCACGTTCTGACATGGAGGCATCCACTGATGTGCCAACAGTCCCATTGTAAAGGGCCTGGCCTTGGACTGGCATAAGCTGTGCAAAGTCTCCTGCAAAAATCATATTGATTCCACCAAAGGGTACATCCATATTGTTTCTTCCTTTTGCCAGTTGTGCACTTATTTTATATAGCTCATAACATGAGATCATAGACACTTCATCTAGAAATATATAGTCTACACCATCTAGACGAGATCTGACCTGTGCCATAGTTGAATTCTCATTATGGTTTCTTCGGGAATCACTTTTTACACCTAAAGCTGAATGATATGTTGAGCCATTCAAGAGAGCAGCAGCAGATCCAGTCGGTGCCAATATCATAATTCTATGTGCCTCATTACGTTTATCAAAGAGGGCTATTAATGCCTTTATAACCTGAGATTTTCCTGTTCCACCCATACCTCCCAGATACATTTTAAGTTGCTCACTTTCTTTCATAGTTGCATGGTTGGCCACAATTCGGAATGCTCTTTCCTGCTCTTCATTCAAACTAAATGTTTGGGCAATGTCATCTATCATTTTCTGTTCTTCTTCTTTCTTAGCTTTGAATTTTTTGTCCAAGTAGCTGATATCATCTACAACCACTTCATTTTGTGATGTCCCATTTTTTTCTTTATCTGCTTTGGCTGCTGGAAGGTTCTTTGAA